TTTTTTTTTAAAAAAAAAAAAAAAAAAAAAAAAAAAGCATTTCTAATTCAAAATATTAATATGAATTTTTTGTTTTTACATTCTCACTAATTAATGTGGTCATTTAATTGTGCTTTCTCCGTAATTCAACAATCGCAGTTTAAATGCAGTTTTTTTATGCAACTAATTAAACCATCCTTCCTTAACTTCACCTTCTTACTTTTTAACACCCGCCATTTGACAATAGCACTAACTTAAATTTGCCCTTTCACAGTATTAGATTTGAAAAAAAAAATAGTAATAAAAATATACAATAAAAAATAGAATGCATAGTATATATCAAATAAACGTTTACCTATGTTTTCGACAGTTGGCACCAATAATTGGACGGCGTTCCTGCCAGGTTTCTGGCAGTCGGCCGTATGAGGGAGATTCCTCACTGGCGTAGAACGGAAAGTACGCCACTGAAAACAGCAAATTGTTCACAACGAATATCAAACTTCAAATCATTTCCACTTATACCCTAACATATCGGCACAAAGAAATAAAAATAATTTGAAAACTATGCAAAAAAAAAATATAACAACAAACAACAACTGTAGTAATAAAGTTTGTAGACCTAAGTTTACTTGACAAACCAAAATCTCACTGCATCGACCAAACATCGGTGAGACAGAGCACCAACTACAAAAATCAAGACTACGCTAATCAGTAGCATTCAATCAGCAAATTTATTTTTTGTTCCTAATAGTTTTCTTTTTTTTTTCCAAATAATCCTAATAAATGAAAAATAAAGTTATAGTTCCACTCTATTCTGGAGCAGAACAACCAAATGACTAATTGACGATAAATTAGAAAAAAAGTCAAAAGATAAGTGACTAAGACAGTGTAAAAATGATAAGGCCGTAGAACAAAACTTGCAAATCCATAAGCAAAGTTTATTGGAAATTTTTTAGTGCAAATTTCATTAAGTTCCTATCAGAATAATAAATGATCAATCTGTTGAGCAACCTGTTCAGCTGTCAACATACCTCCGTCGGCTCTTAACACAGGTTTATAGTTGTCATATAAAAAATGCTTTTTTTTTCAGCTTACAACATCAAAAACAGTCAGATAATGTAAATCACTTAAACATTTTTAGAAAAAAAGATATAAAAATAAACTTTACAAAAAAGTTTTTTCTTTTTTTTTGTCCCGTGCAGTAACGATTAGTGGACCTATTGACAAGCTAAAAAACTGTGTAAATGCAGAAGGTATATAAAAAAAAAAGTAATGGTAGCATACCGCAAGTATTCATCCTTATCCAAACCTTACCACAGAAGTAATTAATACTTATCACTGCAATCTCCAAAGAATAGCTAAAAAAAATAGTTATGAAAAATACAGAAAATATTTAATCGTTGAACTTCTCAGGCTTTTCGAAGTGTTCATGTTTTTAATTATTCTACAGTTCACTTATACACCCTTCAACAGTAGCACTGATAACATGAACACATAAACCATTCTAAAGTCTTTGAACTACAAACTACTAGCCTTTGAAAAAAAATCTGTTCTATAGTTAAGCAGAAAATCAACTAGAACAAACCACAAAATTAGACATTATAAGTTGAACTTTTAAAATGCTAATAAATAACAAAACAACATAACTGAGACAATTTGCAAAAAAAATAGTAAATATTGAAAAAATACTATAGAAACAAATAAAAAAAAAATTTTTTTACAACTATCAACTACCGTTTTCCCATAATATTCAATTCATCCAGCTTTTTAAGTTTTGGTCTGTAAAAGAAGAGCAAACTGCTTTAGCAGTCACTCCCAAATATCTAATCCATTAAATAAATGTTACAATTTTGTGTCCTAAAAATTTTTGTTTTGTTCGACAGATGATTGATAACCTTGCTAAAAGATGATTTTCAAAGTCGTAGAAAAACTAATTTGAAACCTCCGCTCCAAAATGACTGCTGAATATGAGGAGGACAACCAGTGCTATAGACAAACAACTTGCCTTGCTTTACTAAAACACAACTGAACATTTCCAACGAAATTTTCACTGTTTACAACATTTTCCACATTTAAAATACGACAGTAATTACTGTTATATATCTCCTTCTAAAAAAATTATCATTTAACTTTTATTGCTGTTTACTCGACGACTGTTAACACTATCCAAAGATTAATGTTTTTATCATAACCATGACAGCACTTTAAACCCATTCTTTTTTTGCTCCTTCTGTATTTCAAATTAAAGCCGGTTAAGTGTCAGTAAGAATTCATTTTACAAACTTGTAGAAGAAACCCGATATTTAAACAGATTACCTTCAAATATCAATGTTGTAAGGGTTGTTGAAAGTTATAAAGCGATCAAAAAGATTTAGACAAATCAGTAGGATAATATAATATCAGTAAGTACGAAACAGAAAACCACTGAAGGTTGTAGAAAATCAAGGTGAATACAACCAGTAGCTAAACAATGAAGAAAAACTAAAAAAAAAGTGCTTCCTTACGAATGTAAAAGACGATCATATTGCATTCAAAAGAAGAAAAAATCCTCAATTTTTTTTCATCATCTCCTACCAACAGAAAGTAGAAAGTTGGTGAAAAAGCAACGAGATGATAATCTTCGTGACAGCAATAAATCATCTTAGAATAGTGTGAAATCAAACTTTTCAAAGCAACCATAGTTTGCTGTCAGTTACTTAGAGTAGCCAATTGTATACTCATTACTCCATTCTACAAACCATTTCAAACTTGAATGCTTTTTTCAAGGTTGTAATTTTAAGGCAAAAAATTTTGACAACAACTAAACAAAAAAAGGCACTATTAACCAACCATATGCATTGTCCAAAAAAAAAAAAAAAGAAAAGTTTATTATAATTTTCTTCAAATACTAAATCATTTGAAGCGAGCATAATAAGAGCAAAAAATCTTTTGAATGAGAAGTTAGGTAGGCAAGTGTCACAACTAAGATACCAATACCAATGACCTCAGATCCACTTAGATAAATTGTTGTTAAGGTAAATACAAAAAAAACCATCAAAAATTCTCCTACAACTATCTCATCAAATAAAACTGATTTTAAAAGAAAAAGGCCGATTTAAATAGCAAAACGGCTACAAAAAAATGACAGTATGACTTAAGAGTAACAAAAAAACCAGATTTCAAGTAAAAAACAAATTCCGCTAAACAAATTTTTTGCGGAACGGTAAAATATCAAAAGGTTAGACTTTTTTTTTGAAATGCAAACCGTAAGAGTAAACAATTTTTTATAGCCTTACTTTTGCAAACAACAAAAAACTTTGCATTAAGTACAGAAATAAAAATTCAAGAATAAAGTCACTATTATTCAACCAAATTTTGCACAGCATAATTGATTTTCAAAATTATACCAAACTAAAAATACCAAAGAATGTCAATTCAAAGAAGAACTGTACAAGTGACGAAAAAAGGAATAGGCAGTTTCACTCATTTATTTTAATCATTCATATATATCTTCCTACAAATTCTACACAAATGCGCTTCTTTGATTCCTTTAATATCAAAGCATGAGACTGAAAACTTCATTTGAATCATAAGTGTCAAAATATATA